AAAAAAAGGGGGTTTGGGGGGGGTTGGGGGGGGGTTTGAGACATTTACAGGGGAAAAAAAGGGATTTTAGGGAGGTTTCGGGGGGGTTTGAAGGGGTTTGGGGGGGGTAGAGACACTTAGAAGTGGAAAAAAATGGGATTTTAGGAGGGTTTGGGGGGGGTTTGAGACATTTAGAAGTGGAAAAAATGGGATTTTAGGAGAATTTTGGGAATTTTGGGGGGGTTTGAGACATTTACAGGTGAAAAAAAGGGGATTTTAGGGGGGTTTCGGGGATTTTGGGGGGGTTTGAGACATTTAGAGGTGAAAAAAGGGGATTTTAGAGGGGTTTGGGGGGAATTTGAGACATTTACAGGTGACAAAAAGGGGATTTTAGGGGGGTAAGGTGAAAAAAGGGGGCTTTGGGGGGGGTTTCGGGGATTTTGGGGGGGTTTGAGACATTTAGAGGTGAAAAAAGGGGATTTTAGAGGGGTTTGGGGGGAATTTGAGACATTTACAGGTGACAAAAAGGGGATTTTAGGGGGGTTTTTGGGATTTTGGGAGGGTTTGAGACATTTAGAGGTGGAAAAAATGGGATTTTAGGGGAATTTTGGGGGGCTTTGAGACCTTTATAGGTGAAGACAATGGGATTTCAGGGGGGTTTGGGGGGGGTAGAGACCTTTACAGGTGAAAAAATGGGATTTTAGGGGAATTTTGGGGGGGTTTGGGGGGGGTTTGAGACATTTATAGGTGAAAAAATGGGATTTTAGGGGGGTTTGGGGTGGGTAGAGACCTTTAGAGGTGGAAAAAATGGGATTTTAGGGGGGTTGGGGGGGGTTTGAGACATTTATAGGTGAAAAAATGGGATTTTAGGGGGGTTTGGGGTGGGTAGAGACCTTTACAGGTGAAAAAATGGGATTTTAGGGGAATTTTTAGGGGTGGTTGGGTGGGTTTGAGACATTTATAGGTGAAAAAATGGGATTTTAGGGGAATTTTGGGGGGCTTTGAGGCATTTATAGGTGAAAAAAATGGGATTTTAGGGGGGTTTTGGGGATTTTAGGGGAGTTTGAGACCTTTGGAAGTGGAAAAAAATGAGAAATTTAGGGGAATTTTGGGATTTTAGGGAGGTTTGGGGGGGGTTGAGACATTTACAGGTGAAGAAGATGGGATTTTAGGGGGGTTTGGGGTGGGTAGAGACACTTAGAAGTGGAAAAAAATGGGGATTTTAGGGGGGTTTCAGGGATTTTAGGGGAGTTTGAGACCTTTAGAAGTGGAAAAAAATGGGATTTTAGGGGAATTTTGGGGATTTTGGGGGGGTTTGAGACATTTATCAGTGAAAAAACGGGATTTTAGGGGAATTTCAGGGATTTTGGGGAGGTTTGGGGGAGTTTGAGACATTTACAGGTGAAAAAAAGGGATTTTAGGGGAATTTTGGGCATCCCATCTGTGCCCAGGTGTGTTCCCAGTGTATTCTGGGTGTCCCAGCTGCCCCCAGGTGTCCCAGGTGTATCCCCAGGTGTGCCCAGGTGGGTTCTGGGTGCCCCCAGGTGTGCCCAGGTGTGTCTCAGCTGTCCCCAGGTGTGTCCCAGTGTGGTTTTGGTGCCTCCAGGTGTCCCAGGATGTCCCAGGTGTGCCTCGGGTGTATCCCCAGGTGCCCCAGGTGTGCCCAGCTGTGTCCCAGGTGTGTCCCAGGATGTCCCAGGTGTGCCTCGGGTGTATCCCCAGGTGCCCCAGGTGTGCCCAGCTGTGTCCCAGGTGTGTCCCAGGATGTCCCAGGTGTGCCTCGGGTGTATCCCCAGGTGCCCCAGGTGTGCCCAGCTGTGTCCCAGGTGTGTCCCAGGATGTCCCAGGTGTGCCAGGTGTATCCCCAGGTGTGTCCCCCAGGTGTGTCCCCCAGGTGTGTCCCCCAGGTGTGTCCACCAGGTGTATCCCCAGGTGTATCCCCAGCTGTCCCAGGTGTGCCAGGTGTGTCTCACCTGAGAAGCACTCGGTGAACTCCTGCTCCAGTTTGGTGGCTCTGTCGAACGCTTTCCGCGCCTGCTCCTCGCTCACGCGCTTGGAGATCTCCCTGCGAGGGCGGGGCCACGTCGGGACACGCCCACCTCGCCTGGCCACGCCCACAACCCCCACAGGCACGCCCACCCCCATGGCCACGCCCACAACCCACATAGACACACCCACCTCGCCTGGCCACGCCCACAACCCCCCACAGACACTCCGACGTCACATGGCCACGCCCACAACAGTCACAGACACGCCCACCTCGCCTGGCCACGCCCACAACCCCCTTAGACACACCCACCTCGCCTGGCCACTCCCACAGCACAACAGACACACCCACAACACCAGGCCACGCCCACTACATGCACAGACACGCCCACGTCTATTGGCCACGCCCACGTCCTCACAGACACGCCCACCACACCTGGCCACGCCCACAACCCTCACAGACACACCCACAACACCAGGCCACGCCCACTACATGCACAGACACGCCCACATCTATTGGCCACGCCCACAACCCTCACAGACACACCCACCTTGTCTGGCCACGCCCACCACATGCACGGACACGCCCACATCTCTTGGCCACGCCCACAATGCTCACAGACATGCCCGCATTACCTGGCCACACCCACAACCCCCCAGACACACCCATGATGCCTGGCCACGCCCACAAGATGCACAGACACGCCCACAACACTCAGACACACGCCCACACCTCTTGGCCACGCCCACCTCGTCTGACCACGCCCACAGTTGCCAGGAGATGCCCGCTGGCCACGCCCAGTTCACCTGGACACGCCCACCACACCTGGACACGCCCCAGATCCCAGGATCTTCCCATAATTCCTTGGCCACGCCCATCGGCCACGCCCAGCACACCTGGCACAGCTGGAATTGCCAGGACACGCCCACAACCCTCACAAGCCCCGCCCACTACACAGTGTCATTCATCACAGGCCACGCCCATCGTTAGGACACACCCACCTCTCACCTGTCAATCACAGGGCCACACCCACTGGGGTTGAAGCCCCACCCATTATGCAAATGGGCTGCATTATTGTCATAGATGGCCACGCCCCCTCCTGCCTCAGTTTCCCCCTGGGTGCCCAAACCACGCCCCCAAAAGCCCTCAAATTCCACCCAAAATCCCTGCCCAGGTGTGCCCAGGTGTGCCCAGGAGTGCCCAGGAGTGCCCAGATGTGCCCAGGTGTGCCAGGTGAGTGCCCAGGTGTGCCAGGTGAGTGCCCAGGTGTGCCAGGTGAGTGCCCAGGTGTGCCAGGTGAGTGCCCAGGTGTGCCAGGTGAGTGCCCAGGTGTGCCAGGTGAGTGCCCAGGTGTGCCAGGTGAGTGCCCAGGTGTGCCAGGTGAGTGCCCAGGTGTGCCAGGTGTGCCAGGTGCCCCCAGGTGACTCACAGCACGTTCTGCAGCGATTTGGGCCGGATGAAGATGGCGATCGGGTGCAGCTGCGCCCCAAAACTGCCCCAAATCCCCCCAGAATCCCTGCCCAGGTGTGCCAGGTGAGTGCCCAGGTGACTCACAGCACGTTCTGCAGCGATTTGGGCCGGATGAAGATGGCGATCGGGTGCAGCTGCGCCGCCTGGAGCCGCCGCACGGCGTTGGCCGACACGTCCAGGATGCAGTGCTTGCCCTGCGGGTGGCACAGGTGAGCTCAGGTGTGGCACAGGTGTGTCACAGGTGGCACAGGTGTGACCCGGGTGTGTCACAGGTGGCACAGGTACCCCCATGTCCCCCCCGACACGTCCAGGATGCAGTGCTTGCCCTGCAGGTGGCACAGGTGGGCTCAGGTGTGGCACAGGTGTGGCACAGGTGTGTCACAGGTACCCCCCTGTCCCCCCCAGACACGTCCAGGATGCAGTGCTTGCCCTGCAGGTGGCACAGGTGTGTCACAGGTACCCCCCTGTCCCCCCCAGACACGTCCAGGATGCAGTGCTCGCCCTGCAGGTGGCACAGGTGTGTCACAGGTGACACAGGTGTGCCCAGGTGTGTCACAGGTGGCACAGGTGTGCCCAGGTGTGCCCAGGTGTGCCCAGGTGTGCCCAGGTGTGTTTACCTGCTCAGCCACCTCGCGCACCGATTGCACGCTGGTGCCGTACAGGTGGCTGTTGTACTGCCCCCGGGTGTTAAATGTGGGATAAAAGGGGCCCAGGTGTGATAATCGCGGCCGTCCACCTCGTACTCGCGCTTGGGCCGCGTCGTGTCTGCAGGTGAGACGGGTAAAGCACACCTGAGACAGGTGAGACACACCTGGGACAGGT